GAAATAACCAGTTTTTTTTTTTCTCCTTCAATGAACTTAGAACTTACATAAACTTTAGAAACAAAAAAAAAAACATACTGAAAACGTAAATTGAAGTGAACTGGTATTATGGGGTGTTTGTATTATTTCAAAATAGAGGGCAGTATTCAATACTGGCTGTATTTGATTTTTTATTTGAGCATTTTCCTTTTTGGAATTAATTTTCGCTATTTTTGCTGAAGGAATGATTTAGTGAAAATAAAATCCAATGAATATACCCTTTTACCTATATTTACATTCAACTCGTCCAAAAATCAGTGAAAATAAATTTCATACAAAACACCCCAAAACTCTTTTCAGCGAAAATTAATTCCAGCAAAAATAAAGTATTTTACAGTATACAGTGGTTAGATGGTGTTGAGTATGGACCAGGCTCTGATTACTTTTTACCGCTGTGTTCCTTGAAGAAGTGCTTAATACGAAAAAAAAAAAAAAAAAGCTTAAATGAACAAATCAAAAATTGGTATTATGGGAGTCAGTATTTCTCAATATTGAATGCAGTATTCAATAACGACTCTTTTCAATGTTTATTTGACTATCTCGCAATGAAATTATATTATGTAGACATACAAATAGGGTAACATAAATGTGCTTGCATCATCTGAATGCTCTTGCATGAGCTGAAATAGAACCATACTATCCTTGGCACATGCCAAGTTCCAAAAAATTGAATTTAACTTTCTTTGTAGAACAGTTAGTGGAGTGGTTGGTATACATGTATCGTAGGTGATTGTAGGTTGTCATCATCCTGTGACTTTTTATTGTAAAGCGTTAACTCTATTGCTTTGATACTTGCTACATATGTTCCTTGGATTGACCTCTATGAAATGTGATCATTTTGTGACGATATCTTTAATTTTCTATATTAAATGAATATTTTTGGAATTTCTTTTCATTTTTACTTGAAAACTTCAATTACTATTGGGCCGATATGTGGTATATATTGCTTTAGGTGGACCTCTATTAAATTTAAATATTTTTTTTGACGATATCTTTCAATTCAGTAATTTTTGAAAACCTTTACTGGGATTGTTACTTGGTATGAAGTACAGGTGGATCCAAACATATGTGTTGAAACACTTAATAGAGTGTCTGTTGAACATTGCATTCACAGTTGTAAAAATGTGCAAATCAAATTTATTCATATTAATATTTACTTGCATTACATGTATAATTTAAGCATTCATTAAACGTTTTTATTGTCATTTTTTGCAGTTGCATACCAAGATATAACATTCTTCAATGCAAAAGCATTGCCAAGTTTGACTGGAGGATACTTCATTGGTGGATACTCTGCTGGTGATGCTCAAAGTACTGTTGGTACATCATTTACATACGGTAGAGTAATAGATACAGGTACAGGAGATGAATTACCAATTGGGTATACAGAAGAATCCTTATACGGTTTTACGAGACGACTTTATTTACCTGAAGGTGCAGCTAGACCAGGTGTATATTACTGTAATACTACAGATGTGTCGATACAAACAGTACAAGTAGCATCACAAGGTGAGTAGATCAAAGCATAACAGCAGATATGGCTATACAATACAGCTCAACTTACCTACAGATACAGGTAGACCAGGTGTATATTACTGTAATACATCAGATGTGTCAATACAAACAGTACAAGTAGCATCACAAGGTGAGTAGATCAAACCATAACAGCAGATATGGCTATACAATACAGCTCAACTTACCTACAGGTACAGGTAGACTGGGTGTATATTACTGTAATACTACAGATGTGTCGATACAAATAGTACAAGTAGCATCACAAGGTGAGTATATCAAATATCAAAAATATTTTTCTGAAAATAAAACGAGTCAGCGCCTTTCACATATCTGAGATTGCTTTCCGTCTCTCAGATATGGTTATGGGATTATTTTATGATGTAGATGGGCAAGTGTAATTCACAGATAGATCACCATTGTTTATCACCCCTCCCATGTAAATTTAAATTACAAATTTTAAATTGTATTCAACACATTATTTTGAACATCTCTAATAAACAAGCAACTATATATGACTGAATTGGGCCTTTCAGATTAATTTCTTCAATAAATAGACTGGAAGTGAAAAAATGTATAATCAATGCACTTAATGTGTTAAATATTTGTTATATTTGAGCAAAGTGTCAAAACTTTTTTTTTAAATAACACTTTATTGGTGATTTTGATGGATCATTGAATAAATGCAGTTTTTAAATGTGTTTTTTTTTGGTAACCCCCTATTTTTTGCCCTTCAGACAGATCGTAGCAGGTATATAATATCATGTGTGTTCCAAGCATTAACTGTGTTTCTACTTATTGTTCACATAGCTGAAATACACCCAGAGAGTCAAACCAAGACAGTGAGTTGGGGAGATGATGTAACACTGACAATGACCATACAATCATTTAGAATAATGTGATATATTTCTCTACACAGCTGACATTTACCCAGAGAATAAAACCAAGACAGTGAATTGGGGAGATGATGTAACACTGACAATGACCATACAATCAACATCAATATCAGAATCACAATTGATATGGAAACATAATGGTGTGGATATAGAAGCATGGAATGGACAAAGTAGTATTATAATTACATCAGCTAAACCATCAGATGCTGGAATTTATGAATGTTATACTACTCAACAACAACGACAAAATGGGTTACATGGTTTTATGAGACTTATTGTTAGAAGTAAGTTCATTTTGTTTTACATAACTTGAATATAAGACATTTCTATGGTACACTGTTTTTATTGTGAATTTCCTACTAAAAATCTGTATTTCAAACCTCATCTTCAATAGGAGTCAGATCAATTTTTTTAACAATTAAGAACCAAACAGAAGCAACAATTCAGCATTTCTCATATGTATAGGATGCTCTAAAAGAAGCTGCATTCGCTGTTGCTTCGTACAATAGAAGCTGCATCTTCTAATACAGATTTATTGATGCACATGCATTACGTGTGAGATGATTCACTGGTCTATGTAAAAGCCTTTACATACTTGTGACTTTAATCTGTAACAACAGAGCACAAACAGACGACATCACTTGGCAAGGGAACATTCACTACTGTTACAGCTCATCTAGAAGTCGTAACAGTACAACATTAGGATGAGGATTCAACTATATATCAATTTTGTTCTACTGTTTGACGCTAGTGAGTGATCTAAAGTGACGTGAAACAACACAAAGCCTTTCTCAATAGATGTCTCAATAAAGTTTATCAATCTTTTGGCCAAATACAATCTCAAACAGTGCTCTGTATGGAAAATCTGGCTGCAATAGTGTTGTAGCTGAAATGAAATGCTGCCGCATTGGATGACTTGGACACATACTCAGAATGAAACAAAACTATATCTTGTAAGTAGCTCTGGGATGGACTCTGCCTGGCAAAGAAAAGTCTGGATGCATCAAAACAACAATGCTCAGAACTGTTTAAGTTAAGGTGGCAGAAATTGGACTGACTTGACACAGAGAACATCTGCACATGACAGCTCCTAGAAGTGTGCCATCATGAAGAATGGTAGTAGTTGTAGCAATGAACCGCTAGTTCATATTCCATGAGTTAATTGTTATTCTCTCTAATGTTAGTTTATATATTCTAACACTGGATGTTGTTCCATCATGCAAAGTTTAGGTTGCAAAATAGCATTAATTTTGTTTTTTCTTCTAATTATTACAGGTTGTCCTAATGGTAAATATGGTGATACATGTCTATTTAACTGTCCTACATGTTATAATGGAGGTATATGTAATGCAGACACTGGAGAATGTATATGTCCACCAGGATTTACAGGAGATGACTGTAATACAGGTAAAATAAATAATGACACTATGTAATGAAGTTATACTGAAAATATTTTGTTGGACCTTGTACAAAACAGAAAATTGATGTCTTGAGTTCAATGCATCCATCCAGGCATCTATTTATTTCATTTCTTGGACATGATTCTACCAATGTCGTTCAATTTTGGTACAGTCAAGTCATGGTAGCATACACATGCACGATTTGTCTTTTTTTGTTCTATTGCCCTTTGATGGACTAGCATTTGAACATTTCAATGATTTTCCTAAAACTTTGTATCGACATCATGCACATTATTTTGTTTTTAGCTAATGGGTCTGTACGACCTTGGTAGATGTCGTTATCAAATATGTTGTCTATACTCTTTATTCCATGTTGTCCACTTCACACAGTATTCCTTTTTCCCTTTGATTTGTTCTTCTTTCTATTGTGACAATGGCCATCTTCTTAGCTTTTGTGTTTTCTTCTGACAATGTAATAAAGCTACTACCTATTTACTCTGTGCAAGCATGGTATGGATAATAAAGATTGCAACATCTTGTCTTCTTGGTTATGCATAATGTTTTTTGACTGCTGGACATGAGCTTCCTTGAGTGGACCTGTGTCGGCTTTATTCAGTTTGTGACGAAATCTTTGTCATTTTTAGCTCGACAGACAGTAGATTCACTTAGCTAGACCATTGTGTCTGTTGTCTGGATAGATGTGGGTGATTTCTTCCATCCGCCTTGATGAGTGTAGATGAAAATTCCATCTACCAACAATTATGCAAATCAGCTATCAAAATGTTTGAATGACTTCTTTGTTTTAGTTTGTTTTTTTATGGTTGTGAATCTAAATCCAAAATTTGGAAATCTATTAGACTAAGCTTAGTTAAATATTGTAGTCGTTTTTTTATCATGCATAGGCCATTGCTGACTATTACCAATACTAGTAGTTTGCAAATAAACTACCTATGGTATGGTATTTCAGACATAATATGATACAGCAAGGTACACAATGTATGCATGAAGACAGTATAGCAAGAGTATCAACCGGTGTGCAGTGGAGGTCAGGCGACCACATACTCTCTGCGTGTATACTTTGTGGTATCCTCATAATAACCTTATTAATATACATCTTTTCCTTTCAAGGATACATCATGAGAATTTAAAAATCCTAAATGTTTATAACAGATTTAGCAAAATTCTTGGGTCTGGTCAAGCCCTGGAGTTTGTTTTTATTATTAGAGGATGTTTACACATTTAATCATTCCATATTTGGAATTTGCATTTCCTAGTATGGTAAGATGCAAATACCCAGTGCATAAACCACACAGTTACTGCCCGCTGTAACTTATGGCATCAAACTATCCATGTGATTTGGAAACATTGAAATTATGTGACTATATATTTATATACTGATTATAGATGAGTAAAGATGCAAGTGATACACACATGATTTACACAGATTATTATTTGTGTTAAATATATACATTTAATTATTTTAAATTACATATTATAGGTTGCCAATATAGAGGGACATGGGGAAAAAATTGTGGTCGAGGATGTTCATCAACAAATACAGATGCTTGTCGAAAAAGGATGTTTTGTGTTGCTGATCCATATGGATGTTCATGTCTTGCATCATATACAGGATTAGATTGCAATACAGGTAAGTTGAATAAATACACCCTACAGTACTGATGGTTGTCATAGTGTAATG